TTTGCTGTAATTCAAAAAATTACATTAGATTCTTGAAATTTACACTGAATGTCTATTTTATCAATTACTATAAGATAAAACTCATTTTGATCTGTTTAAGGGCATTTTAAGTTAACAATTTTTTTAGTCCGAATCCTCTCATGCTTATAAGTAGGTCAAAAAATTAAAAATTTACTATATATAGATATTGCTAATGTTCATAAACCATGAAAATTTCAAGTATACGAATATTTTTTTTTTCTTAGAGTTACACCCAAAAAACCAAATTGATTTTGTCGAAAACTGAATTAAATTGATAATAATATAAAATATAACAATTAGGAATTAATATTAACAGTTTTCCGTGTTTTTTTTTTTTGATATTTAGCCCGGCAGTTAGACCTTTAGCTGTTGTAGGGGTTATGAACTGTGGTAGGGGTAAGAGGTTGGTACAGAAGGTTTTTGTTACAGTTGTTATGGTGGTAAGCTAAGGGTTTTAACTATTATGAACATGGGTGGTCATTCATACGGGAGCTAGTAGCTGTGGCCGTTACTTACTCCCAGTCGCATTCCTAGCTAACGCACCACGCCAAGCTATAGCCAATCACATGGGTTTGTAAAATATACTTTTGGCTGTTTAAAAAATGAGTAATGTCCTATAATCAGGGACGGTGAAAGCTATGGGCGACCTTGGGGACCGGCACGGAAGGGGTGCCAAACTGAAAATTATTTTTATTTTATTTATCTTTCAATATGCATTAAGAGGACGTGATACCCGCATGTGCTGTCTCCGTCTTACAAGTGCGTAACATAGCAAATTCTACGCAAAAAAACACGTGTAGCTCCATTGGTTTAAAAACTAGAGTGAATTGACCTCTTATAAAATCTAAAGGTAAGATTATTATCTGGACAACCTCATGGGCTTTTTATTATATTTTAATTTGTAAGCGAGCTATGAGTATTTTATGTTACATCATTACGTTTATTTTATAAGCATCATAATATGCACATTAGGCATATTATGCGCTGACTATAATAATATATTAAGCCCCTCCGGTTTAGGTGACACATATATATTTTATGATTGTAAGGCTCCGGCCAATATCCCTATGTAAGAGAATGGCAGTTCTCCGAGAGTCCATCACGTGCACCTGAACTCCGTACAATCCTACATTTTTGGTAACTTTGTTCGTAAATTGTAAGTTATAATAAATAATTTGTTTGTATTAATAATAATTTAGATCAATCGTTATTTATTTGTAATATTAAGATCCTAATACCATTCGTGCTCCCGAGCTACGGTAAAAATATATTCAAAAGAATTAATTTCTTCCCTGAATATCTTATATTTAACGGGTCATCCCCGACCACGTTACAGTTTATAGATCTTAAAGTACTCATAACTAGCCTAGAAATCAAAATATTAAAAAAAAGCCCATGAGATTGTCTAGATAATAATCTTACCTTTAGATTTTATAAGAGGTTAATTTACTCTAATTTTTAAATTAACGGAGCTACACGTGTTTTACTTAGCGTAAAATTTGCTAAGTTATGCACTTGTGAGACGGAGACAACACATGTGAGTATCATGTTCTCTTAACAATCTATACAATTTGAAATATTTATTATCTAATGTCGTTTCAATTGAAGATACATATTCTGTGGTTTCCTCATATTTGCAGTAAAATGAATTATCATAATTCGTAAGAATATAGCCAGTACCACATTTAGACATTTTGCGCCAAGGTGCAAAAAAAAAATTGGCGCCCAGTAAGTCCCAGTGAAAAAAAAACTGCTCCAACCAAGGAGCCTACCCATATGGGAGATGTGGGAGATATGGGAGATAGATCCTCATTAACCTTTTAGATTTTGAGCACAGAAAAGAATATTTGTTTTACAATATGTAATTTTTTTAAAAATATTGTTTAGTAATTCCTTGATCCTCTATGCGCAAAAATACATTTTAATTTATGTCACTTAAACCTTGCTTATAATAAAATTCATCATATAAGTTGTTTTTTTTTTGTAATATATTAAAGTAAGTACTTCATGAATAAATAAAATAAAATTATATGAAACTGCAACTTAATATTAATTAAAAAAAATTTAAACAGCATAATACTATATAATACTAGCTGACCCGGCAAACGTTGTTTTGCCATATAAATAATTTCCAAGTAATTTCTAGTGTAGACAAAAAATAGCTTACTTATCGGAAGTATGTATGTATGTTAGAATGTGTATATTGTATGTATGTTAGAATGTGTATATTGTATGTATGTAAGAATGTGGTATATGCGTGAAATAAGCATGGGGCGCTGTGAACGATGAGGGAATATAAAAATAACAAAAATCAAACATTATTTTTAAGTTATTATAATTTATTCCGTAAAATTATATATCATTAATTAAACAATTACGACAGTAACACTATTAAACAATATTTTTTGTTAGTCCATCATTAGCTAACACAAACAAACTGGATGGTTTACCCACTCGAGAGCATGCCACGTATAATTGTCCGTGTGAAAAATATTTTTGTATGTTGTATCTATTATTTTTTTTTTTTATATATAACCAATACCTTAGCAACCATTTATAAACAATTATTTCTACCGTAAATTATCAAAATCCCTGTTTGAGCACTTCTTTTATTTTTTTCTGGACAACCCTTATCACTTAGGGGTATGAAAAATAGATGTTAGCCAATTCTCATACCTACTGAATATGCACAAAAAATTTCATCAAAATCTGTCAAGCCATTTCGGAGGAGTATGGCAACGAAAACTGTGACACGAGAATTTTATTTTAAATTAATTACTAGTGAGGTATGTCGTACGTACGATTATAGTAAATTAATTTATTTAAAATAATACTTTTCACTTACTTTTTTCACCATTATCGGTAATGATGACTCTGTCTTTAAACTGGAGCACTGTTTCTACAACAACATGCAAAGGAATAGCTGGCTTTCGTCTTTTCATATTTCACAAAATATGAACACCGCACAGATAATTTAAATTAAGATGTAATTGCGAAAAAACAATGAATGTCTGAATATGACTATTAAAAGGAATTAATCACAAGTGAGAATTCTTAAATAATTGTTTACAAAAAATCGAAAACATCACTGATAACTCTAAAACGATTGTTTCACCAAAATTATTATTCTACAAAACATCGATATATAATTAATATTGATACAGTATTATAGCAGTTATTAATGTCTAGTCCATTTATAGGCAATATTTTATTTTTAGAATCACTAAGAAAAAAAACATTTACCAAAACAACATTTGATTACACACAAGGCGTATTAATACGAGTACGACATTAAAAAACAATTATTTTGGTTATAAATTTATAATAAACGTATAACTTAAAAATATATATACGACATACGTATTTAGATTAAGAAATGAAATATTATTTAATTTGTATACCTACATACTTTACAAAAAACAAGGTTGTGTGAATAATATAATCATGAAAACATTAATTAAACCTTAATTGATTTATAGATAGACTCTTAATAAAATGTATCATGAAAACCAACAGGAAGTCAAAAAAATTAACGATCTAAGCTTATTATCTAGTGTAATATACTGGCGGCTCTGATAGCTACTAGTATATTAACAGTTGCAGGTAGCTAGACCGTTTACTGTGAAGATGAGGTAGTAGTTGAATAATTATAACACAAATGCCAAATTATACTGTTGTTTATTAAAGTTCCAACAATCACAATGGTGCTAAGTTCAAAATGACAATCGTTATACGGAGCTGCGTGAAGGTGCTTGCAGTAGCGTTGAGTGGACACGTCTGCCTACAGGCCGTTTCGGGGTCCCTCTTATAGTTCGGTCCCCGCTCCCCTTGCCTTGTGATACGGTATCTTTATTCTAAGTTAGAATTTCTAACGGATGTGGTCTATGTGGCCATCGACCTAACTACGCATTTGCGAAATAGCTAATCTATTTCCCGCATTATTAACATGTATTGTATGCTAATTTGTGAACTGTCAATTCAATAAAATAACCATACTGTTTTTTTTTATATTAAATTTCCTTTTAATATAAAGCTATCGCATATATCACACCCGCCTATTCTACATGATTGTAAAACCAGCGTTGACCTATTGTGGTATTATTTCAACCAGAAAGGTTAATTAGTTTTTATTTAATGTATCTGCCCATTACCTATCTACAGTATATTATGTTAAGTATGCTACCTGTCGAAACTTAAAATGTTGAGTAGTAAATTGCTTACTACACTAGTAAGGTACCTATGAATTTTTTAATAAAAGGCAAAAGGTAATGAGTGGCAATTATTGAACGTACTATAATCACCTAAATATCGTGACAAAATATATATTGAGTTCACATAATAATGGCCTTTGGATGTAAGTTAAAAAATGTAGTAAACAAAATACAGTAATGAAGTTACTAATCTAATCATGGTTGTCAGGTAAAAATATTAATTAAAACATATAAATATAATTAACTAAAAAAAAGTTATTATCACTATAGTAGATTCTTATTTGCCAATTTTCGTACAATTTTGCTCCGTAAGAATTAAGTTCTGATGGAATTCGAAATGCACAGTAAATTCACCAACTATTTTATATTAAATTGGCTATTTAAAAAAATCTGAAGGAATCGCAAGTCGAAAATCGCATTATATCGTTACGGGGTGGGGCTGGCGAAATGTGCAAATTTCGGAAATGCGTATTACGGACGAAATATTGGTTTGCAAATTTCGACAACTACCTTGCAAATTGTTGCTAATTGACTGCTAAATGTTGAGAAAAAAAAATGTTAAAATTTTTAATGGGTGGGGCTGGGGAAATGTACGTAATTATTATGTTTATACAATAATACATTTTTTTAAAAAATATTATTAAACTTTTTTTCTTGAATTTGTCTATGTATATACAACCTAACGTGTGTTACCTACGATACGTACCTAAGTTCTTGTTTATACTTATTCATTACAGATTGTAAATACTCTATTTTTATTTAATAATAATGTTTTCTTTACTTGTTTCGAGAAACGTTTCGTTTTTGTCAACTCCAACAGCAAGATACATGTCATACATCAGTCGTAAGAGCGGTTTGCCGTATTTTAAAACACCGAACCCAGCGCTGAGGACATCCTGCAAACAGGTTCTGCAGATACAAAATCATATTTGGTAATCTATTTAAATCAAATGGGTATTGTTATGTCAACATTATACTAAAAAATGACGATTCGAGTTACAGTGAGTAACGAAATATTCAAGCACGTACCTAGATAGGATTACCCAATAGGGTGGCCAAATTATCACCAGAATATATCTTGAGTGGCCAACATTTACATCCCCCCTCTCTTGATACTAGCCATTGATTTAATTTATAAGTATGTTTATACTGTTTTTAATATAATGTTAGATTCTTGTTGCTTCGATGAAGCTATTTTTTCATTCAAATTTTAAATTATGAAGAATCATACCTAAGTCTTTCTATTTTAAATATATTAGTAAAGTAGTAACAAAAGTACAATAGGTGTTAACTATTAAGTATACAGGTATATTATATTAGCATAGCATTAATGCATTATTTGTTATACTTGATTATAGTAGGCAAGCAGTATTTATATTTATGGATTATAAATTGGTACCTAGTACTGACTACGTATATTTATACTGCGCATAATACGCATAATAATTATCGTGGTACCAAGCTGACCATCGCTAACTATGCTACCATAAATGATACCTACTGTGATGGGAAATGCCGAATTAATGAAATAGGCAGAAAGATTCATAATATAGATTAATTATGCAATACCAGGGGTGGCTCCGGAGATATATATATTTTATTTTTAACACTATAATTTTTTTTTTAAATAAAGCTTATGGGGTGCCGCTGCCAATAGCTCCCCCCCCTGTCTTACGTCAACATAACGAATTCGACGAGTATTGATGAACAATTTCTATTTTGAGTTCTGGCAACCAGACCATGCTGTTCGAGCATATGACGCGATAAATTACAATCTGTTGGTTTCATATTTGTAATCGTAGTGAGAACACAGCATTAAAGATAATTAGGTAATAATAACAAATATCATAATAGAAATGTTTGAATATGGTTTAACTTTTTTACTCAATTATTTGATTCTTGGGTATTTTAACAATATGTTGGAGTGGCCTCTAAATATTATGGGTGCTCGAGCCACTCCAGGCCACCCCTTAGCTACGTGCCTGGAAATATTCTACTGCTGCTGTTACAGCGTTCGCTATTAGTGGTGGGTAGTAACGTAACTCAAATTACAAATTACTGTATCGAAATTACTTTTGAAGTAACGCTTTAGTAATTTCATTATATTTTATTTAAATCAAGGCAATTGTAACGAAATTATGTTTTAAAAGTAATTTCTACGGAGTAACTTGTTATTTTCCACGTTATTAAAATAAGTTAAGTTATGAATATATAATGTATGATAAAAAAGGGGCTAGGATATTTGAGAAAAATTTATCGTAATTTTCTTACGACTCCGAAAATTTTTATAGTAAATAATAATAAATAATATTATTAAAGTTCCCAGGAATTAATACTTATACTTTTTGTTTATGTATACCATTAAGTCATTAACAATATGTACCTACTACTTATTATTGGAGTACTCAATTTAAGACTAATACGTGATTCAAGCCGAGTACTGGTAATTTTTTTTTTTTTATTTAAAAACACATATACAATTATACATTAATTTATACATTTGAATTACCTATCTTCTTTAAGCTAAGCTTGTGGCGAAGATAGGGAGTTACAATTGTTACATATGCTTAAAAGAAAAATAAATTTAAAACACAAATTGCTTAGTTATACAATATTGAAACAGAGAGAAGAAAAAAAGAAAAGAAAGTTATAATATTATAATATCATAAAATTAAACCAAAGTTACATTTAACGATACATGCAGCCATTCAATAATTAATTTTTTAGCATTACAAGTATAAAAAAAAAATTTTCATTTCGAGTAAACGGCTTCTGGTCCACACGTTGCTGATTTATTCGCCTATTTTTTTTCCTCTACTTACAAAAATCGCTCGACATGCGCCCCAACACTGCTTTAATAACATGAAAATCGATGAGTTCCCATTTTTTGACCATCACAATTATGCTTCTCACATGACGAGATAGCTGAAACATTGGACTCTTCATTTAATGTCCATGGTTTATTACCAGATGGTATATCTACCTTCTTTCTCTATAATTGTAGAAAGATTCTTTGCTCTCCTATTTGCTCCATTTTCAATAAATATATAAGTGAAGGTAAATTTCCATCTGTTTAGAAAACTAGTAGAATAACTCATATATTAAAGTGTGACGACCCTTCACTAGTTACTAACTACAGACCCGTACGTAACCTCCCTGTTATTGGGAAGATATTTGAACAATTGGTCCTTAAAAAAATTGAAAGAGTTCTATTACCTACACTATCTATTGACCAACATGGATTTTTAACCGGCCGCTCCACTACAACCAGATCATTAGTTTCCTCTTATTTTGTTCGTGATGCTTTTCATAAATCAACCCAAGTTGACACTATTTTTACTGACTTTTCTAAGGCATTTTACTCGGTTGATCATTGCAACCTTTTTTACATTCTTGATAAATTAGGTATTGGAGAACCCCTCTTATCCTGGTTCCACTCATACTTAAAGGATAGATGGCAATTTGTCAATTTATTTTGTATCACATCCAAAATATTTAGAGTAACAATCGGGGTTTCTCAATTTGGGCATTTATCGCCCTTATTATTTAGCATTTTTATTAATACAGTTTTTCTTACTTCTCTCCCTTGTCGGGTTTTGCTTTTCGCTGATGGTGCTATGCTCTTTTCTAGAATATCTTCAACAAATTATTGCTATAACCCTCAGGCATAATTAGATGATTTTATATTCTGGTGTAAAACAGTTGGTCTGACTCTTAACGAAGACAAATGTAAAGTTATGTCCTTATATACACTAGAATCGATTACAATTATTATACTATAAATGGGATACCTCTAAAGTGGATTCAAGAGACTAAAGATCTTGGATTTATATGCACACTGAATTTTATCCTTTAGATCTCATATAGGTTATATTTCCTGTAAGGCTTTAAGGATTTTAGGATTTATTCCACTGAATTCAACTCAGCACCTTGCTTAGTCGCTCTATATTGTTCCCTTGTTAGATCAATATTGGATTATGGATCGATAGTTTGGAATCCATACCTTCAGGTCGAGATCAAACTTCTCGAAAGAGTTCAATCTCGCTTCCTTGGAGGTTTTTTACCCAAACAAATTACACCCCCAGCACTATTACACACCAGTCATGAGAAAATTAAAACTCTGTTTCCTTCAAAATAGACGAGAAAGATCTGACTAACTATTTTTGTTCAACTTGCTTCATGGTAGGGTAGACGCATCTAGACTCCTGGATCGCATTAGTTTACATGTACCAAGTGTATAGACCAGATCACATGAGCTATTCCTCCTCCCCACTTTAAGATCTACATTTTTGATGAACGATCCATTAGTCAGAGCCATGTACTCGTCGTTAAATAATAATAATATTGATCTTTCGCCATAATCAGACATGTATTTTTTCTGTCAATCTTAATTATTACCTAACCTTTGCATACCTTGCTGTTATAACCAATTATTATGTATAAATTATTATTTTTGTTTATACCTATGTATAAAGCCGTTTGCCGTAAATTTATAAAAATAAATAAATATTATTGCGATCTATATTATTATCTACAGTCATACAGGAAGGCGTGGGTTTTCGTCGTTACTGACGGTTATCGGTGGCGCGGCGGTGCGGCGCTGGTGGTTCAAGCGACCACCCGAGACGAGGCGGCGGTACACGAATACGGCCAGGACATACCGCTTGACCATCATTGGAATGACGACCGCCTTTATGTGCCTCATTGGAACGTTCCTGTCGTGTTGCATGGAATTGGACCCGTGGACGGACCTGTGGCGGCTGTTCGTGTTCAGCGAACGAACGATCGAGGTGTACGACCGCATAAATGTGGCAGCTATTCTGGCTGAAATGACGGGCAAGCGCTGCCTTCTAGAAACGGAACATCCCACGTACAGACGAGTGGCCAGCGTGATGTCTCGGCTGCTGGACGCCAACAACGGGGTGGACGAGATCCGCAACCGCCAGTGGAGTTTGGTGGTGGTGAACCACCCAACGGTCAACGCGTTCGTCTCGGCCAGTGGGTTCATTTTCGTGTTCTCCGGGCTGGCGGCCATGGCCAACGACGATCAGCTTTCAATAATTGTCGGCCATGAGCTGGCCCACGTCATGCTACGGCATACGAACCATATTACCAGCGTCAACTTTGCAGTCCACCTGTTGTGCTTGACACCTGTGTCCATGGTCCTGTCGGTTGCTCTGCCTTTCCTCTGGGCGATGTTGGCGGTCATGATGTGTCGACTCGTCCTATACGTGTGCGTGGGGCTGACGAAGGAAAGGTCCCTCGAGACCGAGGCAGACGGCCTCGGGTTGTTGCTGGCCGCAAACGCATGTGTAGACGGCACCCAGGGTTACCTGTTCTGGGAGGCCATGTCCAAAATCTACGGGCCATCCACCCGGACCTGGTGGCTGGAAACGCACCCGACAAACGAAATCCGGGCCCGACACTTACACAGCTTGATACCAGCCGCCACGGAGCTCCAGAAACTGGCCAAATGCTAGATCTCGTAGTGTTTGGCCTTATATGATGCCAGTATAAATAAATATTGAAAAAATATACTCTGGAGAGACTCGAACTAACCCCCCGTGTCTAAAGTTCAAAGCTTTAACTAACTAAGCCACAGAGCCGGTATACCAATCGTATGATTCCTATCTTATATAGATAACTAGGTATATGAATATCTGCTATTTATAAAATTACATTAAATTATCCATTCCATCCATCTGTCAGCGTGATCTAGATCAATTAGCATATTAAATTAGCATAAATTATCATATATTTGAATAAATCTGCATAATTCAGTATTTTATGCAGCATAATATTACAACGATACAAGCAGTATTGATGTCAGTATTGAGTATCTTGATGTCATAATTTATCATAAACTATTGAATCTATATAAGTTGTATACACGCATGCGCAAAAGTACAAGAGTGTTTATTTCAAACAAATAATATAAAATAATATTCATTAAAATGTTTTAACAATCTAGACTATGTACGTCGACTAATACTACAAAAGGCAGCTTGGTAAGACATGCAATATCACACGATGGTCACCGAGTTACTTGCTATATATGTCGTAGAATATTTGGCAGGATTGATGTTTTAACTAGGCATTATAAAAACGTACATATTATGTATTTTAAATAATTATTATTTTAATTTTTTTTAAAAAAGTCTCTATTTGTTAAATTATTTCAGATATAAATAGTAAGAATAATCATAGAGAAATCGATCCTCAAATTGATGTACCTCGACAAACCTCATTGAAACGATCTCAAACAGCCAAAGAAGGTAATATTATGTTTAAATATTTTATTTTATTTTATTATTTCAACGGTACCAAAATAGAAGTAGCACCTCAAATATTTGTACCAGACATCGAGGCCGGACCATCGCGACAAGAGCCATCATGAGAAGCAATTGCAGTAATGAAAAGTTTTAGACCATCGGACATCAAGTGAGGTAACATTGACGATGATGGTGTATTTGTCGATGTCTTACAGATCGTTGAAGATTTAGGGCTGTATGATATTCAAGGTAAGATTTATTATAATACTAAATACAGGACATGAGGTAACTAGGAAGTTTTTTTTTTAATCTGTAGATTCTTATATATCAGGGGGAGGTCGCAAGCGTGTTCACCCTGAGAACTCGAAAAGGAAGCGTATGGAAAAAGTCAGGACTTATGGTTTTATAGAAATAGGTTTAAATAAAATAATTGATGAGGCGTTCTCAAATCTATTAATCTATTAATCACTTGATGCGGACCTGTGGGGTGCCACGTGGATGTTGGGTGAAGGTGACCAAACAAAAATAAAAACACAACAAGATGACGCACTACTATAGTTTAGGTTTTTATTTGTGGTGAAGTCATACAATAAAATTGCGAAATGGTATCAATAAACAACTTTGAATTCAAACAGATTTTGCGTGGGACCGCGTCATACTGCCCCCCCAAACCGCCAACGGCATTGGTGTTCCGGCCGTTGCCGGTGTTGCGGTGGGTCACGAGTGGAGGGTGATTGTGGTAGACACCTGTCCGCGGGCACGTTTTCCGGCTGTGTTCAGCGGACGTGGCCCTGGTGGTGTCTAATCGTGTTTGGGCGACGTGGGGGGGGGCTGAAATACATTAGACTGACGTCCATGTCCTCGCCGTCAGCCAGGTATGCGACTGTATCTCCTAACAGTTGCGCATCCTCTTCCGGGGATATTTCCATATAAACGGTTTTTGAGGTGGCGGCTGTTAGTGCTGTTTGTTCCATGGTTCCGGTTGCTCCGGTAGTGTTCGTCACTTCCAGCACCATGGCCACGGTGAGGTGCGGGATCGCAGGCCCTGGCTGTGACGGGTCCGGTGTTGTCTCTGGGGCTGGGGTTACGGGTGGTGCCGGTTTTTCCAGGCGATATTGTTGGGACGTCACCCTATCTTTGCAGGCCCGCATCCGCTGTTTGTTCCGGCGTTGGCGGGCGTTTTCTGTGGCTGGTGGTGACGTCGGTGCGGTGGTCCTTGGTGTCGGGGGTGGCGGCGGGTTGGAGGCGGTTGTTAGTGGTGGCCTGGTCGCTGTCCTTTGCACCGGTACCGGCCTCTCAATCAGCGGATCAGCGGTCGGGGTGGTGGCCTCTCGGGTGCCCGCGTTGGCGGCAGTGGTAGCGCCTGTCGGGTGTTGGCCGGTGACTGCGCCACCCATCTGGGGCTACGATACCTGGTGTGCCGTATTGACGCTGTGGGTTCGCCGCTTGTCGCCCTTCTGAAGACGGCGGTGCGGTCTTCCCACCCCCGTGTGTAGGCGGCCCACAGTACTGGGTCCCGCTGGAGCTGCGCTGTGGTCATCCGCCGTGGTGGTATTTGTGCCCTCCTACAAGGTAGCTGCCCTCAGCAGCTGCTGGCTGCGTTCTAGCAGTTCCGCCGCTTGTTGGTGGGTGGAGGGTGTCGTCGGCCCTTGTGGTTGCTCCATTTGGTGGTGTGATGCTATTACGACTGAAATGATGTACACAAAATGCTATTGTGGGTTTATGGTTGGGGGGGTTTGGGTGGGGGTTGTTTGGGGCTCTGTGGTGTTCGCCCGTTTGAGGCAGGACCCGTGTATTTTGCGTGCCAGCTGTTGGTCTGTGATGAACACACCTTTGCCTACGCGTTTGTGCAGTTTTACCGGTCCCCACCATTTGACAGGTGGTATGCCTTGTAGTACACCGTGTCACCTGTTTTGTACTTTGTGTCCGTCGGGCCACATGTTACAGGTGGTGCGGTCAGTACGTTGTTTTCGTGACTTACAGTATCCATATTTATTCGTTCGATCGGGCTGTCCGCTGTCCGTGACAGTACCCAATCCCCGGCCGTTTGCCCTCTCTCCCGAGGACGAGTACCGATGGTGCGTAACCTGTCCGGTCGTTGCGCCTGTTCCTGATCGAAAAAAGTATAGGGGCTAATTTGGTGTCCCAGGTGTTGTGGTTGCCATTGATGAGTAGCGCGTGTAGACCTTTTTTATTTCCTGGTTTCGGCGTTCAAATGGGTTGGCCTTCGGATGATATACCGGAGTTGTCCAGCCCTCGGCTCTCCATCGTTCGATTGATTTACGCATGTCGTTTGCTACGAACTGTGAAACGTTGTCACTAAAGCACACACGGGGTATCCGAAACATGAATAGAATTGGCGTTCGAGCGTTTCGGCTATTGTTTTTGTAGTGGCTGTTCCGAGGTGGTGTGCCTAGGTCCATCTACTAAACAGGTCCATGGCGACCAGTAAATATTGTTTTCCCCTACTCGTGCGCGGGTAGGGGCCCATGAGGTCTATGCTAATCACCTCCCAAGGGTGTCGGGGTGTTCTGGTGGACGCGGGGTCGTCTTCGCGCGTGTTTAGTGGTTTGATACACGCGCATATGTGACACGACTTGACGTACACTCGGATGTCGTTTTTTTGGCCTTTCCATAAACATCGCTGTTTTATCGCCCTGTACGTTTCTTTCCAGCCCAGGTGGTTTGCGAGTACATGATCGTGGTATGTCCAGATCACGTTCTGTGTTTTATTGTTTGGTATGACTACGGGTGTGTGTTCGCCCAAATTTATCCGCAGAAGACCATCGGTAAAAATGTATTGATTTTTTTTATCCGTAGTACTTCCGGTATCGTGCGCTGGGTCATCCGTTGTCATGTTGTCCGCTATGTCTCGTGTGTTAGGATCATTGGCCTGCCATGTCACGATCATAGCGTGTGTGATTGTGGGACCACTGGTAGTGTCAGCCGGGTCCGATTGTCGGCCAGTGAGCTAGTGGGGGTGATGTGTGGTGAGGTGGGTACTCCTACTAGGCGTTCTTCGAGGTGTTCCTCGTCTATCGGGAGCCCAGTGGTTGGGTTGCGGGAGAGCATGTCGGGCGCCTCGATTTGTACGCCGGGCACATGCGTGGTTTTGTAGTCCAGGTTTGCCAGCTGTAGTGCCCACCTAGTTTACTTGTATTTTTGTAATTTGTAATTTTGGCTCGGTGGAGCCATGTGAGTGCTGAGTTGTCTGTATATAGGTCAAAACGGCGGGCTTCTAGGTATGGTCTAAACTTGTCGTTTTCCAAGATTATTGCGAGACACTCGCGTTCTACCGCAGCGTACCTTGTATCACTAAACTTTTTGCTTGCGTAGGTGATTATCCGCTTTTCGTCCGGGCTGTTACCCCGTTGGAAAAGGACGGAACCAGCTCCAATCTCGCTAGCATCAGTCTGTAGGCAAAACGGTTTTCCGTAATCTGGCGTTGACAGTTTTGGCGAATCGTACAGGGCGCGTTTTATTTGGTAAATGCCGCCTGTTCGGTTTCGGTCCACGACCATTTGGTCCCCTGTTTGAGCCTATTCGTTAAGGGTGCTATGGTGTCCGCGTAGTTGTCGACAAACTGGCTGTACCAGTTGCAAACGCCCAGGAACTTCCGTATGTCCCTCAGCTTAGTTGGTGGGGGGTAATTTATGATGCTCTCTAGTTTCTCCGGTTGTTTTTCTATTCCTTCGGAGGTGACTAGGTGTCCAAGAAATGAGATTTCGGTTGCTCCAAATCTGCATTTTTTGAGTTTGCATGTCAGCCCGTGTCTGTAGGTGTTCTAGAACTTTGTCTAAGTGGCACTGGTGTTCGTCCGTGGTGTTTGAAAACACCACTATATCATCTAGATATACGTGGACGAACTCGTCCAGGTACCCCCTCAAGACTTTGTCCATTAGTCGCACAAAGGTCATGGGGCTGTTTTTGAGGCCGAAAGAGAAGACTTGGAATTGGTATACGCCCCGAGGTATGTGTCCGGGTAGCTAAGAAAAACAAGTGACTTGTACGAGCCGGTTCGCCGAACGGGCCGGTCGACGTTTTCAGGCGCGGAGGTCGCGTGCCGGCGTTGTCCGTCGTCGATTGGCAGTTTAATTGAGAATTTTAATTTACAATTCATACATTCAAACAGATTTTGAGCGGGACCATGTCGCACTGAAGAAAACTATTAATCGAGGGGAAGTGGTTATGTGCTCAAATCTATCGAT